GGTTAATATGAGGCATAAAACCACTATCTGGTTAATATGAGGTATAAAACCACTATCTGGTTAATATGAGACATAAAACCACTATCTGGTCAATATGAGACATAAAACCACTATCTGGTTAATATGAGGTATAAAACCACTATCTGGTTAATATGAGACATAAAACCACTATCTGGTTAATATTAGGTATGAAAAAATCTGGTTAATATGAGGCTTAAAGCCACTAAGGTTAACTTTAGAGCAAAATGACATGGTTAGCACCAAAGACCCCGCCCTCCAACAGTTGAATACTGTGGCCTTCCAATAGGGCAATGGGTACAGTGTTAGACCAAGAGACCGACACAGACACAAAATATTTATTACGATATCTTTTGGTTATTTACACATTCATTGTCATTGATATATTAACCCAGTAAGGGACACTGTTGGGACAGTCTGAAGCCTAGAAGGCACAGTAGGGACCCTCTGAAGCCATTGTATGGGACTGATAACACCTAATAACGTCCATTTCATGGACTGATAACATCAGAATCCCCTGGCCATGCAGACCTGTTCTCCTAGAGGCCGGGCTCAGCTCAGGGTCTAGATGTGTACCTGAAACTCCGCTTGCTGGAGGAGGCACGTACGACACAGGAGATCCTGGACCACCATGCTGGAAAGACACTCCGGAAGATGGAGGAGCAGGAAAAGAGCAGGAGGTCAGAAATAAATGAGGGTGAGAGGGAGGAGAAGAGGACAGGCCCTGGGCAGGAGGCTGTCCTGCATAGTGAGGAGGGAGGAAACCAGGAGGAGGGGGTGGGCAGGAGGGTTCTGCAGAGGGGTGTTGAAGAGGCTGATAGAAAGGGGGCCCCCCAGCTCCAGGTGGGTACTGGTTGACCTGGGGGTAGGCTGGAAGTCACACAGGATGTTATATTAGTAACAACTTGCTACGTCATGCAACACAAACACATCCAGTGCATGCTTGTTGTAGACATCAGAACTAAACAAGCTGAGCAACATCAGAGCTGTAAAACCATTCAACACAACAAACAGATCACACAGTGTTAGAGTCAAACATTTCTACTGAGCAATGGTTTTAAACAGATGTTAAAACAACAATCAGCTTTAAATGCACTCCTGTCTCCTTCAGACAACATTATTAGTCCTAAACAATCACCTGTTTGAGTCTTAAAGAAACAAATATCTAAATCAAATATTAAGACATCTTGGTTTCCAATCAGCTTCTAGTTTGTTCCCTTTAGACCAGGGGTGGTCCTGGTCCTGGGGGGCTGCAGTCCTACATGTTTTACATGTTTCCTGCTCCAACACACCTGATCCAGTCACTGAACTACCTCTTCATGTTCTGCAGTATGGAGGACCAACACTGACATAATTAGAAATAAAAGCAGAAACAGATAAATGAACCTTTAAATAGATAAATACATAAAATGCACCAAATAAATTAAAAAGGACAACTTTACTTCATGTTTTATCATCTAAATGACCTTTGTATTTATTTTTCCAGCTTAGTTCCAATAACTTAAATAACCATAACTTAAATTTTAATGTTTTTAATATATATTTTACACAATGTTTATTTTAC